AAAAAAAAAAAAAAAAAAAAAGACAAACAAAATTAGCTGATTCAGCCGATTTTACTTTCAAGAACAAAGCAGGAACCTGATAGCTCAGTGATCATTATAGACGTATGGAACTTAGTACTGTTGTAATGTTCAGGGTGGTTTGTTAGTAAAACTAAACTTCCTTGCTGAAATCTTCAGGTTGGGGTCTGCTACTTGTTCTTCATAGGAAAATTTGTCTACATAACTTTGTAAAGCTTACTATTCCAAAATGGCTAAACATTTTGCATTGCAGCAAAGTGTTCATTCAGCTACTCATTCAAGAAATGTTGAGGACAGCCAATGTAAGAAATATGTTTTTCGCAGTGTAAGCTTTTCAGCCCTCTACTACTTAAAATGGGGTCCAAAGACTGAAGATTCGTTGTTAGACACAAAAACTCTCAGACACTTGCCCTCCCTCTAACTAAAGAACTGAAATCTATAACCTAACAAGATCCCCAGGCGATTTATGGGGACATTGTTCATGAAGCACTCCTCCAACCTGTCTAGCTTGAAGTTGTCAATAAATATTTGTTAGAATGGAGTCACTTTCCATCTGTGTACTTCATATTTTTCAAAATCCCTTAATACAACTTTACTTCTACATGTTCCAATGCTGATATATCTAAGGTCATTCACTGCGTTACATGTAATGACGGACCCACAGGACAATCAACATTAAGAGAACAGCCAGTGACCAAGCATATAAAAAAACCTCACAGCAGATCTGAACTTGGCCTTGCTCTTAGCTCAGTCTTAACCAATTAGACTCCTAAGAATGAGAATCTAGGTTGAAATTTTCTATTCATTTTGTTCTCCCATTTAAAACCTCTGAACTGGTTGAGAAATTTCCGTAACTTGCATCCATGTATTAAACTTGGTAAAACATATTCCTTAATAAATTGTTAAGACACCTTTGCAGTTTAATATATTTAAAACTAAATTCAACCCCACAAGCAGCTCCTTCTGTTCTTGAAGAATTTATATGATAGTAGTCTACAGCCTTGCTCCAGCCAGACACTTGAAGTTGTTCAGGAGCCTGCCCCATCTTGTTCCACATCTAATCATTTTGATTCTGTTACTTCTAACTTCTAAATACCTCTACATTTTGTCCCATTGTACTACCTAATTCTCTCCACCATCATCTTTGGCTGGGATTAGAACTCTCACTTCCCCACTAGTCTACCTGTCTCTAGGCTTGTCTTACCCTTGGATGTGTAGGGCTGCCAATGGTCTTTTTCCTGAAATGAACAGAGGAAAGGGTTTCTTGGGCTGTTTAAAATCTGTCCGTAGTTTCCCATTGTTCTAACTCCAAATCCCAGTTCCTCAACAGGGTCTTCAATCATCAAACATTCCTCTCAATTTAAAAATCTCCATTCTATTACTGGATCCTCTGAAAGGCCTTCCCTGATTTTTCCACTTACCAAGCAAGGTGAGGTTCCTACCACTAATCTTCACTGCAACCTCAGCTTTCCCTGTCACAGCAGATGATCGGTAATCACAGATAGAGCAATCCAAAATGTGAAAGTATATGCTGACACAATGCTTAATTGAATATAAATGTTAACTGGCAAAATTATATCCAAGCATACAACTGTGTTTCGCAGTTTCATTGGGAACATCTGTTTGATATACTGTACTATGTTTATAAAATTATTTTTCATCTGCATGATTCCAACATACATACACACTCACAGACAATCCTGGAGATTAAACCCAGAGCTTCTGCACTAAGCTACATTTCCACACTTTTTTTTTTCTTTCTTTTTTTTTTTTTTTTTTGTGGAGACAGGTTCTCCCTAAGTTGCCAATGCTTGGCTCAAACTTTTTGATACTCCTGCCTTAGCTTTCCAGAGTGCTGGGATTACAGGTATGTGTCACCACACCTAGCTACAAGTTATATTTTTAAAGTTTGTTTTACCACAGTTATAGAGCCTAAATATATTAAGCGAATATATGGCAAATGACTAGAGGTTCCTATCAAAATGGAATACAGGTTGGCTTCCAACTAGCCATTTCAAAGACTAATGCTTAAGGCAGATGTCCAGGTAAGGACATGAGAATCCTAATAGTACTGAGAAGTGAGTTATGGTAAGCCTTGACTTTCTGCAGCATAGTTTGTTTTCAAGTATATAACTTGGCACTAAGAAGAATGAAACAGGTCTTATACAGATCTAGAAGAATGACTGATATATTTTTACTCATCAAACACATATGAGCAATGTTCCAAGGACCATTCTAGGCCTTTGAGAGGTATCAATAAGCTATAAGGCGGTGTGTACACTGAAACTCAAAAAAGCATTTATATATGTGTGCACAGTGTTCTGTATGTATGGGCAAATAAAGATCCTGATCACTGTACAGCATTTGATTTTCTTTCAATAAATTTAACCTGCTTTGGTAATTTTAAAAAGATGAATTTTAAAATAACTGAACTGTTTACAATTTTGAAAGTCTCAACTGAATATTAGCTTTTAAGCTCAATTTATATAAAACATTAGTTTTAATCCTTAAAATATATCTACTATAATTATCAGTTAGGAAGAAAAGACTATTTGGGCTTTACAGAAACTATACAGAGGATCAGGCAGTATGTGAGAACCCAACAGCCTTTGTATTACTAAGAATGAGTGATTTTGTAATTTTGAATATACTGTAATTTTGATAACACAAATATGTAAAACAGGGCCAGGGATTTAATTTAGTGGTGACTCCACCTGCCTTGCAAGTGCAAGATCCTGAGTTCAATCCCTGATTTAAAAAAAAAAAAAAAAAATCTAAAACAGTGAATGACAAGCACCATGGTATATACAGTAACTGCAGACTGTCCAGTCACTGAGGAGCAAACAAATTCTGTCCATTATAAGACATACACAAATAGCTACTAAACACAACAGTGAAGAATATTCAATGATACTGGAAAATGTTTTGATGTATGGCTTTTATTCCTTTTGCAATGCTGGGATTGAATCCAGGGATTCATGCACATTAGGCAAGTGCTATACCACTGAGCTCCACCTCCAGCCCAAATTCTTTTTTAAATCATAATAGCACAGTACTACTTTCCACATACATCACAATCTCTGCACAGTAACACCGTATCTTTTGTACTTTCTATATTTTTTGCCCTCAGTATTTGAAATGAATAAAAGCAAAAGACTCACATTTCTAAAGTTCTGCTGCTTTCTAAATTGTACCATTCAGCATTTAGCATGCTAACATGCTACAACATATGCTCAAAAATTTTGAAAGTACATAACCCCTGAAATGTCCATTAACATCATAAAGAGTAAAGTTCTTTAAATTTTTTTAAAAAGAAATACTGATGGTGAGTGATTTGCCCACATCAAAGAGAAGTTAAGGCACCAAGCAATGTGTCTCAAAAGACTATTCATCTCTTTACTTGCCTTTAAGTTTTCAACCTTTTCTTCAAATGACTTGAAAGTCGGGGAGTTTCTAAGGAGAGAAAAAAAAGGAACGGTAAAATTACAAACATTGAAAACTCCCAACAATTGTGTTAACATTAGTTGACTAAATTCCTCTTCACTGTCACTGTCAACCAGCAAAAGAACTGTTATTTGTATATATGCAAATATTTATAATGTAAGACTGTCCACTTCTGAGATACTATTTCTATAAAACTGCATTTGAATTCATGAAGACAGCCTCAGATATAAGTTACAGAACAGTCAAGTACCTAGGTGAGGAGAGTGAAGAAAGCCAAGTAAAACCTCGATTCTGCCTCTTCCCCAAACAACTTGTTATTGTACAAGAGAATGACACTATTAGATCAGTTTACTTTTGGCTATGGTGCTATGCTCTAGAACTCTTGTTTAGAGTCACATCTTACCTGGCAGAATTCAGGCATAAACCCAAACCTAGTTGAGATAAGCAGACCATCAGCAGTTCCATTACAGGGATCCCAGCTCCTAAAGGACAGCATCGTGGACAGGGAAAGAGGCCACAGGGATGCCTGTACTTGGCTCTGCTACTTCACAAGCTTCCCTGGCTGACAGAAACAGTGCTCTGAGCCCACAGAAGCTTCACAACTGCCTTCAAATCCATGCACAATAAGGATGCTCACAGGGCTTTTGACATACACAGGTTCCCCATGTTCTTAGCCTATCCTCGTGGTTTTGAATATCCTTTCTACTGCTAAGATGAAAAAGACAAAGAAGGAAATGTGGGGCTTCCTCTTCCCCCAGTGGTGACGGCTAAACACCATAAGCCAGTGGTTCCCAAAGTGCATCTCCCAGACCATCTGTATCATTTGTTAGTAATGTAAATTCTCAAGTCCTACCCCAGCTCTACAGAATCAGAAACACTAGGGGTGGGCTCAGCAAGCAGTTTAACAAGCGCTCCAGGTGATTCCAATGCATGCTGAAGTCTAAGCCAAGCACTTATCATTAACAACCCTCTGTCTGGGGAGGCTGGGTGAAGTAATAACATGTATCACTTGCCAAGTGCTCACTGCTAAAACCACAGGTGGGTTCAAATGTCACAGTGTGATAAGGGAAGCAAAAATGTGAAGGGTGAAAGAAATGGGGACTGCAGTTAGGGCTCATGCAGACAAAAGAAGTGAACTACCTGTATCCACCAAAAGGTTTAATTAGGGAGCAGTGTTAACTTTCCACTGCAACACTTCAGATATGAAAGTTTTTATAAAGTAAGACTAATTCTTGTATTAAAATTCACAAACATTTAATGCATCTCTTGTACCCAGGCCAACCTTGTAAGAGTAAATGAAATTAGGATATTATTCTTTTTGTTGTTGTTGTTTCATTTTGTTTTTAATGGAATGTGCTGAATGTCTATAATTTTGTTCAGATGACTGCAGAACCTGGAAAAGCTGTTGCTGCTATCAATGTATAACATACTATTATTAGTCTTTTTATATAAATATAAATATAAATATACATATATATATAAATTGAATTTTGGGATATAACATACTTATTAGTCTTTTTATATAAATATAAATATAAATATACATATATATATAAATTGAATTTTGGGAAACTTTAACGGTGCTGCCAACTTCAGAAAAAGTCATCCCAATTTACTGTGTTGAGTTGGCATTGTATAGAAATGGACAGTCATATTGGTATAGAAATGTTAATTTATTTTTATTTTTTCTTCCATGTGTACAGGGGTAACACATCGTGCTAAATATGTAAGGTCATATCTACGTGGGTTTGATTACAGAAACTAATAAAGTATTCTCTAAATAATGAAAAAAATAATAAGATAAGACTATAAGAGAGAGAAGCAATTTAAATATGTTAGGGGACCATTTTCATCTCCAGAATTAAGGATTATTTTAATGTTACATCATTGCCTTTTCTCTTTTACTTTTCTTTTTAGTTTTACTTTAGGATTCCCTATTTTTAATGTTCACACAGAGATTTCTTTAACTGAAATACCGAATAGTTTCTTTGGTGTGAAAACTATAATAGTACACAGGATCCTAATGAGATAATTAATAATGTGAAATAGGAAGTAAAGGGCTAAAGGTGTAAGGAAAGTGGGAAGGGTGGGGGAAAGGGAATAAGGGAGAGGAAAAAAATATGAGAAACTGAAAAAATGGAAATAAAGTATTTGTAAATGGGGAGGGGAGGAGGGGGTGAAGGGAGGGCAGGGACAAGGGGAAAAAATGAGAATCAAGACCTATTATGTAAAGGTACAGAATCCCAATGATGAATGTAACTGTATTGCATACCTAGATTGTACCAATAAACTCAATAAAAAGAAAAAAAATGGAAAAAAAAGAGTAAATGAAACGATATACTATCAAACACCATTTGTTTAGAGTAGAATGCTAGATAAACAGTTCAGTTAAATATGTCAACAAAGCACAAGCCTAAGACCAACTACATTTTGTAGATATATACTTTACCTCATAGCAGGCATGCTAATTGAATGTTGAATGGATCGTATACTTAAGAGGCAGCATTAAAAAGAGATAGAAATGACGTTAGTATAGAGTGATGATTCAACATAGAAAAAGCCAACAAAACCACTTTCTACAAATTATCCTTTTGGCACCAGGGAGAATTATCTTACTTTTCAAAGTAAAGGAGATCACAGTTTTACAATGTGATTTACCTTTGCTCATGAGCCAAATCCCAATCCCTATTACAGCTAATAATACAACCATACGTTTTTAAAGCATTTGAAAACTGGAACAGTTCACTTGGATCTGTATATCACATTGAGGTCAGAAGTTAAATTATTTACCCAGGGTCAATGTATAATCAAGAATGGAAATTGGGTCTTTGTACTCCTAAGTCAGTGTTCACCACCTCCCCTCAAAAAAATCACACTCAACACACACACACACACAGGGAGAGGGAGAGAGGGAGGGAGGGGGGAGGGGGGGGAGAGAGAGAGAGAGAGACAGACAGACAGACAGACAGACAGACAGCAGCAGGCCCCTGCAGTCATCACTGTCTCTGTATTGGTTTCCAGGCTGGAACAGATAAGCTTCGAAATCAATCACCCATTTGACAGCTTTAAGTGATTTTAAAATTACATGTTACTCCTTAGCAGCAGTAACAGTATGTATTTTGAACTTCCTTATACACTTCATCCCAATTAAACTAAATGCTCTTAAAAGGCTACACAAGTAACATTTGGCCCTTGGCCTTACTAAATCCATCTTCTACTCAAGGACAAGGCAGTTCACTGACTGTTCAAGTTCCAGGCTGTCTTAACTATCTCCCACAGGAGGAGACCACCTCGTGAGCTTAGAGCATAACATTACAACATTCTTGATACTGTTACTATTCACTTAACATTTTGATTACTGGCACAGCTCTTTTTGGTAAATAATCTTCCCTGTGAGTAAAGTGGATGGTTCAAGGTATACGTTCTCAATTATATTTAAATACTTTGTCTGTTCATGTTTTACTTTTCTTAAAGATTCAGTTATTACCAATGGTAATGTGTTCTGACTATAGCTCCTCAAATCTAGTTTTGTATTAATATGTAGTAATACAGTATGGTCTTGATATGTACCAAAATCTGCTGGCAGTTTGGGGAATCAATAAAGTATTTGGACATCTCCGGACTTGTTATCTTAAATAATAAGAACAGATCCATGTAACTCAGCATCCTCTATTCTACAATGGTGACTGATACCTTGGGGAAAGGATTATATTCTAGGAGGAATTTGCTAGTTTTCTTCATAAGAAGTGTATTGGTCCCATATATGAAAGACAAAGATGAAAGAAACATGTTGCTAAATTTGAAACTAGAGCTCCAATCATCACCTGTCCTTCATCAAACCCTTCTAAAAGCCCTGCCCAGAACAGTTAAACCACCATAAACCACCACCTGCCATGAATCCCACTTTAACAGGTCAGTGGAGCGCCATCTAACCTCATGGCGATCTACAGATTGTCTGGGCTGTTGGGGGCTGGGAGGTCTGATTAAATTCTTATTCCAGGTTATAATCAGGGTGCCATGCTTGGTGGCTCAGCTAGCATAGGCACTTAGGTTAGAAAAATCACATGGACTGAAGTGTTCATGAGAATTTCTGAAACCAGGTGGAAGCTGCAAGAAGGCAAAGGGAGCTGGTTCCCCCAAAGACTCAAACGTAAGCAGACATAGGCTGAGGAACTTAGGAAGACATGACCATGGAAGGAGAGGAACAAGTTGGCTGGTTCCCTTGGTTTCTACACACTGCCTCAATGCCTACCACCTTTCCAGTTGGCAGGTTGCCTTCAAAGAGGCATCCTTTCCACTCCTCGGATTACAAAGAACTTTCTATCTGTACAGCATATTTTCTTTTCAAGCTGAGCTAACACATTAACTTTTCTGCTCATAACCAAAGGAGTCTCCACTGGTACATTCATGTTTGGTAGAAACTACCAAATTCTGGCAAAAGGAGCTAAGTAATGGCCAAATTTGATAAAGTGCTTGTTCATAACCTCTACAAGTTGAATTCAACAGAATCAACAAAAGGAGCACATAAGCGGTTAAAGTAAGTTCAAATTTCAGAAACTCACAGTTAATTCTACTCCCTGTTCCGACTCCCCATCTAAAGAGCCATCTTCTTCCCATGACTGGCAGTTGGGTTCTCCGCCCTTTCGCAGGCTGCATGCTGACTAAACACACTTCAGCAAAAATGTGTGAGGAAAACCAAGGGAGTGACCAGAGTGAGATCTATTTTGTGAAAATTACTGAGCTGAATTTGAGCTTGAGTACTCTTCTATTTCACAATAAAAAGACGGAAGTACACTCGTTAAACAGAATGAAATCAACAGAGATTTTAACTCAAGGATTCTTTGCTTTTGAGATTGATATTTTAGTAGGAAAGCCAAGGAACACAAACCCATTTCAGTTCTGTACAGGTGTATGATCCTCTCTACGATCCATATTTAGATGGAATTCAGTTTTGGTGGAGGTTAGTCTGGAATTAACTTGGGAGGCCACTGTTTCATTTCCAGGTGCTCTACAGAAAGTTACACAAAGCTTCAACTTGCCTCGACTTCATATCAAATCTCTAATTTCAATCAAGGTTAAATACCATAGGAAAAATTCAAAAGCAAAAACCTATCTTACTACTGGGCCAGAATTATCTCTAACAGGAGGTGAGGATCAGTTAGCATCTACAAAACAAAATTTGTTCAAAATTTTCCACTTTGCTTTGTAACCTTCAAATATATTACTCTAATTAAAACAGAAATAAAAAAACAGTCTTTTGCAGGGTGTGGTGATGCACACCCATAATCCTAGAACTTTGGAGGTAGAGGAGGCAGGAAGATTCGCTGTGGGTTCAGAGCCAGCCTGGGCTGCACAGTGAATTCAAGATCAGTCTCAAGTACATAGCAAGACCGTCTCTCAAAACACCAGGAAAAAAAGAAAGAAGGAAAAAAGAAAAGAAAAGCAAGCTGAGTTCCTTAAGAAATACAGAAAAAATGGCAGGGCCATCTAATACTAATGCTTCTCAATTTCATATTCACTCTTACTTTGAAAAAAAATATTGTTAAAATCTGAACTGATCCTAAGATTTTCCTGGTTTCTTACACAGTTATTTGATCTTTGTATCACTAGTAGGGGAGAGGTGAAAGAAGCAGGTAATAAGTGGAAGAAGAGTTAATGGGTCATTTGTTGGAATACTTCTGCATTCCAGGCACACTTGTAAGAGCAGTTGGTGTGTAATTACACCATTTTGTTCTCGAAACAATCTCTTGATGTAGGCAGTAGAAGAGTACCTGCTGGGCAATGTCTGAGGGACACCGTTTCAAACTGTCCTTGTTCTGGGGAGGCACAGGAAAGACTGCCAGCGCTCAAACTAGGGTGTGCTGAGTTTGAATCCAACCATCAGCTACTAACCTTTCCTCTGCAACCTTGCGGATTCCCTTCAACTGCACTAGCCAGGCAGGAACAACAGCATCTAATTCCAGAGCTGCTAGATATACTTTTGTCATAATAACCATTATTATAACAGATGACTTTAGTTAAAACATCTACTTTGTATTAGATTTTCTCTCTCAAAACTTTCGTATTTCATTCCACCGCCTGCCTCACAGGCGCAAGGTCCCGAGTTTGATCCCTGGTACAAAACAAATAAATAAAAACCTTTCATATTTCAGTTGTCAGCCCCACCCCTGCAGTCTAGACCAGTGCTTGACACACAGCTAGCACCCAGTAAGTCCTTCTGAATGAAGGAATGATGAATAAACTGTTACCTAAACTGGAAAATATCAATACGAAAGGTAGAAAATTATAATTTTTAAAATTCAAATCAAAAGATAATGTCTTTCTGAGAAAAAGACATTTCTTTTCCCACTAAATAGAAATTTTCCAGAAAAAGCAATGGCCTCGAATATTTTTAATAAACCTAAAAACAAAGAAAAATATCTAGAGGTACACATGAAAAAACAGTAATTTTAAAAAGAAATTTCTTTTGGAAATAAAGACAAAATGAATTAGCACTTTCTCAAATCTACCACAAACAGAAATGAGACTACCTTTATTACAGTATTGTGTTAATAAAAATTTATGTTTCATGGTGGCACAGACTGAAATGGGAAAGTTCTTTTAAAGTCTCTCTCAAAATGGTAAGCACATAAGTCAATGTTTACCAAATATATGTTAAAAAGTAAATAAGCACCAGTGAAAATGCACACACCTCTGAGGTGGGGCCGGCTGTCCCCAGAGGGCCCCTCGGGTCCTTCTCATGACCCTGTCTCCTCTGCAGCTCAGCTCTGCTGAGACCTCATTCCAGGGCACTGGAGACAGGTACTCAGGTACTCAGATTCTCAGTCTTCCTCCTGCCCACCCCTCCCACTGTCCATCTCTCTCTCTGCTTCCCCCCTCCTCTCCCTCCACTTCCTCCCATCAAGGAGTAATTATCACAAATACCTAAGCTCAAGTGATAATGCCGGCTATGCAAAACAAAACTTGTTGCTAAATCTAATGGCTAGTACATTTCTCCTTCTGTATCTATATAATTACCTCTCAGTGAAATCACTGGCCTAAGTTTTGCCCGCTAAGATGGACCTGAAGCAGTTAACAGGATTCCCCAGCAGTTTCAGAGCAGCTGGCAAAAGGACCCCACCCACACACCAGCATCTATCCATTCGGTGAGGGGCCTTGCTGCTGGGACAGAGTAATGGGCTCAAGGTCAGCTCCCTTTCCTCCGACAGTTGTTGGCAGAACAGGGCCAGCATTTGCCTCTGTGACCCACATGGTCTAAAAGATGTGCTTTTCTTTATACATCTGAACACATGAAATCAGATTAAGAGGTTTTACTCAACTTTTGATCTGTAAGAATTACAAAGTTTAAGAGAATCTTATTTCTCTCATTTTCAAATGTTAAGACTTTATTGATATATTATGGTCATTAAAAAGTCTAAAAACAGTTGAGAATCTCAACTATATTTTTTAAATAAATGAAAAAAGCAATTTGAATGAGAAAACAACAAAACTGTTTCCGATGAGTTAGTAAGACTGAGTATTGAGCCATATCTAGTTACATCTAACATTTTTATGTTTTGTATTTATATCACACCTAACATTGTTTTATAACTGAGCAATTACAGGCTCTTTCATTCTTAATGTATCCCAAGTCCCTTCCTCCTTTCCCCAGCCATTCCAAAAATTTTAAGCCCTACCCCCAAAAAAGCCACATCTGCTTTATAACCACCACCTCAGGACCTGTCAAAGGATACTCTCAGATTAGCAGAATACTGTATGTGACCGAATGCTCATTCAGCTGCCTACAGCATTTTGGAATTAAGATACACAATCACCTATCACTGGTTATTTGCTTTTTTAAAAAACATAATTTTAGCTTTAAATAGTTAACATTTAAGATTTCATGCATCCTTATGATTTACTCCAACTTCTAGGGCTGGGGTCACCAAGCCCAGAGGTGCAAGGATCTGCTTGCCTACTGAAGGAGGCAGATAGCTAGATCACAGCAAGTGACTGCTTGAAAAGACAACCTGCATTTGCCGGACAGAGAGGGAGACTCATTAACCTCCTGCTCACACTCTGAAGATCTCCTTCCCCTTTCCAGCACCTACCTGCATGTTAGAGCCTGTATGGCAGAGTTTTGACTCAGCATCCCAAGGACTCCTTCTAGAAGGCATGGTCTGAGCTGACATCTTTTTAATGTACTTTGTGTACTGGCCTAGTATACTTTTTCCTTTTGCAAACCATGAAATGGCCTTGTGTGTACAGTTGAAGACTACAATTAGTGTAAAGAAATAATAAAATAGTAAAAACTAAGAGGTAGTAAAACAAATACTGAAAAGTACAGAGTAACAGTAAATTTTCTAATGTCAATTTCATCATACACAAAACGTATAGTTACCCATGTAAGAGAGAAGACTTACTACCAAGAGGCAGTACATATGCAGCCTATTATAACTGCATAATGAAACCCAGGTGAAAGAATTTCAACATCCTTACAAAAGCACCAAAGGAACAAAACCATCAAAAAACAAACAAACAAAGTTAGACATTAAAAGGGAGGAATTCTGCATGCCATGGTAAAGCTGCTTCTTTTAAAAAAGAAAAGAAAAGAAACGTAAAAATCATTTCCATATACCTTGAACCATGGTGTCAAATTCTTCTTTTAATTTATCCATTACTCATGGTATACAAGAAGCCTTTCCTTGAAATTAAAAATGCACTAGAGGGCCGCGCCTGCCTCGCAAGCTCAAGGTCCTGAGTTTAATCCCCAGTACAAAAAAAAGAAAAAGCACTATAGGGAAAAGATACTCCAGATGCAAGGGGAGTACTGGATGCAGTGGACAAACACGACCATCCGACATCGCATAATCATCTAAAGCTCAGCACACTTGTTTCACACAACTGCTAAGCCGCAGTGGTGGGCAGAACCCTCCTTACCTAAAGGAATGCGAAAAGGCCTGCAATCTGTAAGAAGCCAGAGTAAGCGTTAAAAAACAAAGGAAGTTCTGATAAATCGAAAACAATTAAACAACCTACTCTTTAAAAGTCACATGTTTTACCTGGCCCTAAAATGATACACCATTCAGGCAGGAGAAAGAGAAGCAAAAGCACCTAACAGATATGTACGTACATACACAAAGAGAGTTCGAAGAAGCTGCAGTTATTACATTACACTTTGAATGATATTCCAAATATAATGAGCAAGGAATTTAGCTATTATGGTACAAATTATGTTAAAACCAAACCTAGCTAACTAAAGTTCTGGTTGTAGAATCTACTTTCCCCATGAATACAAAACACAAAAGTCATGCAATCTGAGCTTTTTTTTTTTTTTAACCACAAATTTTGCATGCCAACAAAAGCACAGCTGATTTAAACCACACTTGTCATTTTCAGCACTATTCTAATCCACACAGGTGGAGGGAGGCACAAAAGCACTATGAAGTGGTTTTATCAAAAGGACAAGGAAAAATCTGCAAACTAATCTAAAATACAAATGGAAAACAAAAAAGCAACAGCTCAAAATTAAGATTTAGGCCTAAGCATGAATGTCCGTACAGCTTACAGGTTGGTACAAATCAGTGCACAAATAAGCATGTTGTAATCACACCAAGGAATAAGGATGTCAAGTATACACAGAAAGTGAAGCCAGGTCTTCATTCAAGCGTGCACATCAATGCTCCTGTACTTATCACCAGAAAGACACCAGGCTTGCCCACAATCACAAATTTCCCACCACCAGGGACATACTTACCCAGGATGATCAGAAGCACTAAAAAGACACAAAAGTTTTGCAACCACAATTTTTCAACAACCTAAATGGATTCAGAAGACGACCATTTTTGATGTTAGAATGCTATGCCTAGAGGGATCTGGGTAAGAATTTCAGATCCTGGATTGAAGGATCCTCAATCCAACAGGGCATCCAGTGTACCCCTGGCCAGCACAAGGAAACAAAAGAACCACACAATGTTTGAATACGCCTCACCCACTTAACAAGCAAAGAAAACACAGACATACTTTACGTCTTCCAGCTTTTTGGTGATGACAGAGCCAACAGATGAAAAGGCCGCTGAAGCCTTCTGTCCAGCCTGAGATAAGGTTTCAGAGGTCTTCCTGTATCTGTATTCAATTAGAAGTGAATAGAAAAAAGTCAGCTAATTTTTTTTACTTTTTATAATATCATTTTTTTTTTTAAGTTCAGTGGTTACCACCTGTTTGAGAACTCTTTAAAATATTTTGCTGGAGTGTAGTAGCACATGACTTTAATGCCAGCACTGGATAGGCTGAGGCAGGAGGATTGAGTTCAAGCCCAGCCTGAGGAAATTGGCAAGACCTGGTCTCAAAATGAAAAATAAAAAAGTGATGGGGATATAGCTTAATGTTTACATCTGTTGAGTTCAATCCCCTGCACTACATGAATTAATCAATCAATCATTGGTTTCAAGAACCTCAAAAACCCTTCATAACCACCAAAGCAGCAACCATCACATAATCTTAGACTGAACTACACATAATCTTCTGCAGTGCCCTAGTCTAGATGGAAAGACAGAGGCCCATAAAGGCAACGCCAAAGAAATCAGAGTTAAGAGCTTAAAAAACAGTCGTGGAACAAAAAAATGAAAATGAACCAGGCATGGTGGTACACACCTTTCATCTTAGGTACTTGGAAAGCAAGGCAAGAGGATCCTAAGTTTGATGCTAGCATGAGCAACTCAGTGAGACCTGGTCGCAACTAACTGCTTGCACCTATTTTTTTTTTAAGAGAGAATGCTTGCCTTATACATGTGAGCCCCTGGTTTCAGTCCCCAGTGCTGGACAGGGGGGAGCCAGTGTCTGAAAGAAATTCCTCCTCTTCTTCTTTTCTTTTCCACATAACCAAAATAAAAATTAAGTTTTGCCTGTCTGTAGAGATACCACATAAGGACCCACTGGACTCTCAAGAGAATATGTTTAAGGTACAGTACTTAAAATGACTGGGGAATATCTGCTCTTACAGAACAGTATAAATTAGCAATATTCCTTTCCCAGATGCCCAGAGATAGAGAAAAAATTATGATGACCACAAAAATAATGAGGAACATACCAGAAAAGGCCACCATCCCTGACTATGGAAATGGATGGTCAGGCCTTTTTGTCCCAAGATCAAATACCAGGAGCAAACACAGCTCATGATAATACAGTCAAAGATCTACTTTCTGAATGTTTTCCCAGTGTTAGCTAGCATTAACATGGGTAGGGAACAGGCCCAGATGGAATGCAGTCAGCCTCACTGTTGATGGCTAAGATGCAAACAACTCCTCAGCTCCTTGACTCAGTAGCTGGGCTCTACACAAAACACAGAACATGGTCTGATGCTAGAACCTTGCTCCTTGTGCCAGGAAACAAAACTGCATTGTACTCATGCTGCATCACCACTTGTGCAACTGAAAAGATAAAAAGATTAAGGGACTTGCCTCTGTTTTGAGGACACATGAGACTGTTACCTGAAAATCGTATGATATGTATTGAGACACCTGTAGTCCCAGCACTGAGGAGGCTTAGGCAAGAGGATCACAAGTTTGAAACCAGCCTGGGCTACAGTGAATTCAAGGCCAGCTTGCAATACATAGCAAGATCCTTCCTCAAGCAACAAAACAAAAAGATTGGCTCTACATTTTCAGAAAGTCTGTGACCTCAACACGTCACTTATCTGAGCCCATTTACTCACTTAGGGCTCCCTTGTCTTCAATTTTACTGGGGGGTTATGCTGAGGACTAAATGACACAGTCCCCTCCCTAATGTGTTGCGGATGTATTCCAAGACCACTGTGGGTGCCTGTGACTGCAGATCTTATCAAATCCTATAGAAAGCGGTTTTCTCTTACATGGCCACTAAGTGACTGAAGGTAGGTAACACATATAGCCTGAAAACACTAGACAAAAGTGCAGTTCATGCCCCCAGCTGGATGTAGGGGAATCACAAAGATTAATCGAGCTACACAACATGGCATGCAATTTTAAACTTTTGAATTATTTACTTCTAAGAAAAGCTGCAGAAGTGTTCTCATCCCTTCTATCTCCCCCTCCCCAGAGAAAATGTGCAAAACTGTCCTTCACATTGTCTAGAAAATGTGCAACTGAGGGAACATACGCGGACGTGGCTGTCACATCCTGCCACCCTTTGGCAATATTCTGCTTTAGCTCCTGAAGTGACCCGATCCCAAGTTTCCGCTTGATCTCTGCCAGATGCTTCTCTTTTGCTGCTAACACTTGAGACAGAGTTTGGATTTCTTCTTCCACCTATGAGGAAGGGATGTGTGGCAGAAATATGGCAAGGTTTTTAGAGCAAGGCAATACTCAAAGTTGTAGTCATTTAAAACATTTTTTAAAATTTATGTCTCTTTACAAATGTAGTATCACTAAAAAAACCCTGTTACACACTCATCCTTCCTACAGAGCTATTCTCTTCTCTCCCATGACAGCACTTTACATCCTGTGAGTTGTCCTTGGCCTTCTCTCTCCTCTGTCTCCCTATACTTCCTTACTCAGTTATCTCATGGAAGTTTGGGGCTTGAATCTGTTACACGACGAGTAATTCTCAAATCTGAATATTCCTGTTTCCTGACTTCGGATCTAACCTTCCAGAGAGACATTTTTACTCTACGTGAATACTCACTAAACTGATACTTCTATACTAAATCAAAATAATCTCCACCCCCACAACACCAAAACATGCACAACGATCCCAAACCAAAATCTGACCTTTATGAGCGTTTCATAAATTTAGACTCAATGTTGTCAGTCCCAGCTTCTGTCAAGGCCATCACAGTAATAAATTAAACTGCCTCAGCCGCAGAGCCCTGCAGAGGTCCTGGTGGGCCCTGACCCAAGGACAGCCACCCATGGAAGCCACAGAGCAGTGACTGCCTGGTGTAAAGGGTGCTCCATTAATCCTCCTCTCTCATCCAGGAGCCTGGGTTGAGAAACTGAAGTAACACTGGGAGAAGCTGAAAGGACTTAGAGAACAAAGCCTTTAGGTATAACTGGGCTCCAGTGAGGCTGAGCTGTGGAGGTCAAAACTGGGAGCAGGAGCCGGGGATTAGCTCAGTGGTGCTGCCACCTGCCTTGGGAGCACAATGTCCAGAGTTCCATCCCCAGTACAATAAAAAAAAAAAAAAAAAA